CACGCACGCAGCACGCACGCCACGCACGCACGCACGCACGCCGCACGCACACACAGGACACAGAATAGATGCACTGACACACAGCCACACAGATACCCTAGACGCTAGAAGTAGGCTTGGGCTTCATCATCGTAAAGGCGGGACATTTGACGTAGGTAAGTAAGCAAGTAGGCAGGCAGGTACATGTATAGTGGGTAAGTAAGTAGGTGAGTAGGTAGGTATGTAAGTAAGTAGGCAGGCAGGTAGGTAGGTGGTAGGTAGGTAGTAGGCAGGCAGGCAGCAGGCAGGCAGGCAGGCAGCAGGCAGCAGGCAGGAGGCAGTGGCAAGCAGGCAGGCAGGCAGGCAGGCAGGCAGGCAGGCTATGAATGTAACTATGTATTCAGCCATGTATGTAGCTATTTATATAGGTATGTACATGTGCAGTTATGTATGTAGTTTTGTGTGTAGATGCATATAAAACTATGTATATATCTGTGTATGTAGTTATGTATGTATGTGTGTAGCTATGTATGTATCTGTGTATGTAGCCATGTATGTAAGTGTGTAGCTATGTATGTATCTGTGTACGTAGCCAGTCATGTATCTGTTATGTAGCTATATAGTTAGCGTAGTGTATTGTATCTTTTTATGTAGCTACTATGTAGGGTGTAGCAATGATGTATTTAGCTACACTATGCAGCGTATTGAATTATCTAAAATTGTGTGTAGCATATGTGTGTAAGCTAGTGTTGTACTCGTGTATGTAGTTAGTATGTAGAAATGTACTATGTGTTGTAGCTATGTGTGTAAGGTAGTTATGTAGCGTATGTGTGCTAAAGCTATGTGTGTAGGTTATGTATGCTAGCCTATGTGCTAAAGCTATGTGTGCAGGTATGTAATAAGCTATGCTGTTAAAAGCTATGTGGCAGGTACTGCTAATTAAGGGCTGTTAAAATCCACCCGAACTCGAATCGGATCGCCGATTCTCTTTCCCATCCGATCCTCGATATTGTTCCCCTGTATTTCGACTTCCACTTCGATACCACTTTTTCCTCAAGGGAGATGGCCGGCACTACGTAGTGCGTGCGTGCGTGCGTGTATCTGTCCGTCTCTCTGTGTCTGTCTTTGTCTGTCTGTCTACCTACCTACCTACCTGTCTGCCTGTCTCTCTGCCTCCCTACCTGCCTAGCTGCCTTCATTCCAGCCCACCTGCCCACTTTCCTACGTAGGTATATATGTATCTGCCGCACAGGTGGCATGAATTTGTGGGCTTAAACTAAACTTGTGCGTATCCCGTGTCCCTGCCTTCTTGCTCTTCGTGTCTCCGTGTGTGCTCCCATGCTCATGTTTCTACCTGGTCTCGTTGACCCGTGGCCCCACTGCCACGCGTGCATTCGTTGGTTCGTTTCAGAAGTCACACGTGCCGTACCGTGACAGCAAGCTGACACGTATTCTACAGGAGAGTCTGGGAGGCAATGCACGCACCACCATCGTCATCTGCTGCTCGCCCGCCGCCTACAACGACTCTGAGTCCAAGTCAACACTCATGTTCGGACAGAGGTCAGGGCAGCTTTGGGTCCAGTCAGTTAGTGTCCATGGCTTGATTATGTCACCATTAAAAACGATGTGTGCTAAGTGAAATCATGTGACTTATGTGAAGAAGTATAACATAGACACAATTTTCATGGTAAAATTTAAACAACCCCGCAACAACAAACTTTGAAATTCGCTGAGATAAAGAAGAAGATAATGGTTCATCATCATCAGGGTGTCATATTCATCTGGACGTTGGCTACCACAGGTCGCCACTGTGTTCTATCGTTTGTCGTCTGTAAGAGACCGGCAGCAGTATGTCCCCCTCCGACAGTCCTCACCAGACTGTCTATATATACTGTCGACTTGGTCTGCCTCTTGGTCTCACCTTCAATCCTGCCGGTCACACATACACTCTGCAACTGCTGCTCTCATTATATGACCCAAGACGTGAAGCTGTCTCTGCTTCATCTGTCTCAGCAACTTCCTAGATATTTCCATTCTCCTCAGGATCTCCTCATTAGTTATCCTCTGAGTCCAAGAAACTTTCAACACTCTTCTCCAAATCCACCTTTCCACAGCTTCAATTCTTTTCTCCATCACTTTGCTTATGGTTCAAGATTCACATCCTTAGAACAACTTAGACCACACATAACACTTAAAAAATCTCTTTCTTGTACTAATTGATATTTTAGAGTTTGTTACCATCTTTATCTCACTGAAAGCACTCTTTGTTATTGCTATTCTTCACTTTATCTCCTCTTCACATCTTCCGTTTTTCATTACTAAACTTTCCCAGTAGGCAAATTTATCCACCTGTTTTACTTTGCCTCCCTCTATCGTAATATGACATGTAGGCACTTTGTCTCTCCTTGATATTACCATTACTTCTGTTTTTAGCTCAGCTGACAAAGTCAGATGCAGCTTGTAGAATCGCATGATTGTCCGTGCAAGATGAGCGCTGTCGCTATGCGGCACTTGTTTATATATATAATATTATATATATATACTGATAACATGGCATACCATTTGATCCTGGAGGTACTGGTCTTCAGTGGACATCTTGAGGTTGTCATGATCATGGCAAATATATCATAGGGGTTAGCAGGTGAGTGGAGTTGGAGGACTGGCATCTGTGCTCCGTCCTGAAAGATGAATTATTATTCTGTTATCACAAGCATTGTGGTTACTTACATTTGAACCGATATTAACGAGTAATGGCTAATAAAAATGAATTGCTCCATGTCATCAGTTATACAGTGTTGCTATTGTATTATTTGTTATGCTAGTCTCCTAGTCTCCTAGTGTACTAGTTCTACATTGCACTTTCGGTAGTTTTTTACATTACAGGCCCTGTCCCTGCAAATCCTTCTTAGCTAAGCGTGCTCAAACAGAGGCACACATCTGATACAATATTGAATGATGTGTGTGTACTTTTCAATGCATGAATGTGTAAACAGTTACAGAGAGATGCTGCAGCATCATATATGTTAAAATGTTATTATACATGATTACTGTCAAAAACATGCAGGTACAGAATAAATTTATCTGACGGCAAAAATTTATGCAGAGATTTCGAAACCTTGAGGCACTGGTAGACTGGTGCCGGTATCGTTCTGGCCTGGGGTCATAGCAGATGCTATCTTTCCTGCGAACACTGTGGAGTGCTTCTGCCTTCATCGGAGACCCCTTGAAGGCGTTCGCTCGGTGGAACGTTTGAAGTACCTGTATGATATAAAGAAATGTTCTCTGGTTGATATTTTGACATTATAAATTACCCTACTTAGATAAAATAATACTAATCATCGGTTAAGATCTTCCCAGTCTGACAAAAGCATGTCAGTCCATGCAGAATGGCTCCAACATGCTTACAGTGGGCCGTCAGTGCTGATGGAGATGTCTACTTTGTAGGCAGCAGACTTTTTCATCTCCGCCCAAATTATGGCTACAACATACGTTTGACCATGCGAGAGGGCTGCACGCATGGAGCGCACATATCTGGGAACAAAAGAAAAAGAAAAAAGAACATTTTTATTGCATTTATATTATATCGTTCGTCAGAGTTGGGGGGGCAAGAATGTAAATATACCCCAATCTGGCCTTCTGATAAGCGTGATGGAGGTCATGGTGGGATACCAGGGTAGGTATGGAGTTGGATGTAGATATGGTGTGCGGAAGCCCAAGTGGCTGAGTTGCTTCGCAAGCGCCATCTGGCATTTTAGTACCGATACAACCCCATTGCCCGCCACTTGTGTGGGGGAAGTGTCACCATCTGACATGCTCTACACACACTCGTTTGTTTTGCAGGGCATCACCGAGCGCTTTGTCTCGAGTCCGGAGGAAGTGATGGAGACAATTGACGAAGGCAAAGCCAATCGTCACGTTGCTGTCACCAGTAAGTGGTGCCCCCTGCGTGTGCTTGCGCAAGCTTGTAGAAGTGTTTCCGATAGTGTTTTGGGATGGTGTACCTAATGCGACATCATCGCAACATTCTTTACTTTCTCAGGCTGTTGCAATGCACTGTGCTTGCTGTCTTTGCTAATGTAGCCCATACGTGGTTGTGATGTGTTTATGCATATTTAAGGATACACTAAGAAGAATAAACGTTTAATGAAGGTCTCATGAAGAGTAAACGTTTATTGACTAATGAATTAAATCAATCACACGTTTATTTATGGAGGAGATAAATCTCTATGCTCAAGCCAAAAAAATTCATGAAATTTCCAGCACCTAATTATGGATATTAATTTCCTCAATCCCCACAAAGAATCGGAAAGCAAAATTTTCGCTACAAGTTAAGCACAATATGCACCAAAATTGCACGTCAAGATTTTTCTTAAAGTTTCATATTTACCGAAAGGAACTGCCTAAAATTTATGCCATGATTGAAAATTTATGCAAATAGAGAACCATAACTTATAAAAGATGTCACTTAAAGAGATGCATGACGCTAGGTTCCTTGCATCTTTTCAGTTAAATAGGTTTAAATTACTCTACATAAAAAATTTAATTTATCAATATTTATTAGAAATATTTCTGAAATGTTTTAAAACTAAAGGCTGTATCATTGCTTACAACGACGGTGGCACCACTATTAGCCCATCTGCTTTCAAACGTGCGCATCACAACTTTTTGGATGAGGCTCCATTCCGAGGGTGTTTCTTATTTATTAATTTATGAGGAAAAGGATTGCAATATCTTATAAACAACTTTTATATACAGTTATAAATTTATAATATGGATGAATTTGTCCTAAAATAAAAATCATTCGGTTAAATAGCAGTTAAGTATAAATATAATTGCACTTTTGTGATTGGCCCTAAGTTTGTAAACGTGCACAGTAAATTGGCAGAAGGCTTTTGTCAAGGTGGCAGCACAATCGCTGGGTGTCATGTCAGCGGCTAAAAATAAACATTTCGAGACTCATTGTTATTTTGAGACAAATGTGAATGCATGATTATAGAAATTTGTAGGTATATACTATTATTTATGCACTTACTATCATAATATGTGCTAACATTCTAAGGTGTAGTATCCCTTTAATATCAAACCCTGTCATGCCTTTTTTACATCAATGTACGCGTTACCATTAAAACCAATGTAAAATTTAATTATTCCGAGTTGTAATCATGGAGAAATATCCATTTCTACATCTGCTACTGTGACAGAAATCGAAACAGAGAAATCAGCGTTTTTCGCCTTTTCACAATGATTGACCGCGTGCGTTCGAAATGGGTGAACGTATATGAAACATCTTATAGTACTTACTGCAACATATATTCGTGAATAACTGAAACCACTAAATTGGAAAAAATGTTTTGTGCATCTTGAGAAACTGTAAGAAATTACAAGGTTACCACTCACAATTTGATGCGAAACGTGCGAACGCTGCATACTGCATGACATCATTAAGCTTTGTGCCAAAACCTGGTCCTATGTTGAACCTATAACGAGGTATAAATGCTATTTTCAACTGAGTAGCACTTCAACTATCACTGGCAGTTGATAGGTTCTGGCATAATATATACCGTGTGCAAGGCTGGTTGGATCATGTCTTTGACGTCATTAGAAAATGTGTGTATAAAGGGCTACGGCTCACTGCACACGGCTTATCAAAATGCTCTGAAAGCCTACATATATGGAGAAATAAGCACGTACAGAGGTGGCACATGGTGTGCCCATACGCGCGCGCTTGTGTGTGTGCGTGTGCATGTGCATGTGTGCGTGACAGACATGTACAAGCACAGCTCACGTAGCCACTCGTTCCAAATCAACCTGTTTATCACATGTTCTATGTGCGTGTAATGTGATGTTGTGTGTGACAGACATGAACGAGCACAGCTCACGCAGCCACTCCGTGTTCCTGATCAATGTCAAGCAGGAACACCTCCTCAACCAGAAGAAGATGATCGGCAAGCTGTATCTCGTGGACCTGGCTGGCAGCGAGAAGGTGAGCATGAAGGTGAAGGGTTGAGGGCCGACACGGGACATCTGTCGTGCCCCTCAGTCATAAGCCACATTCGTGTTTGAGAGTCACCACGGCTCTACTCATGTGTCATTTTTTCTTAGTAGCTGCACTTGGCTCGAGATCGCATCACGGGAGTGCTTAGGAGTGCGTCAAGTGTGCAGTATTGCCGATATTCGTCACCAGCTGGCAGCAACCATTCCCTAAAACCCAAGAGCGTCTGAGACGTGGCAGTATAAGGACTGCATCATTAGCTCACCTTGACATCGTCAAGCTGAGCTATTGCCATGGGTCGTCGTACGTTCGTCCGTCCGTCCGTCCGTCCGTCAACATTTGGTTTCGGTCAACGATAACTCAGGAACCGTTTGACCCACATGTTTGAGATTGGGTGTAGTTGTTACTGCTATGCTCCCATATGGAACGTCCTATTTTGGAGCACGCCAGTCGGCGTACTTTCGAGTCACGGCGATTTTTTGGGAAAAATGGAAATTGCCATTAGTCAGTTCAGGTTGAACGGATTTTGCTCATTTTTGGTATGTGAATGAATAAGGGCTAGGGGTTTTGATATTTTAAAAAAAATTATGCAAATTAGGTAGGTTTATGCAATTTATGCAAGGAATCGGAGCGATTTTACTACAAGAGTGGGATGGGGAGCTGTTTCCTGTCTCATATGCGAGTAAAAGATTATGCCCTAGGGAGAAGGCATACTCGGTAATTGAACGTGAGTGTCTCGCGCTAGTGTGGGGAATAAGGAAGTATAATACGTTTCTGTACGGTCGCGAGTTCGTGGTACAGACAGATCATCATCCACTGGCATACCTCAAGACAGCTAAAGTAGCTAACGGTCGATTAATGCGATGGGCACTGTTCCTGCAACAGTACAAGGTCCGCATTGAGGCCATTAAGGATACTCTCCACGTTGTGCACGGGTATTGCTCTAGTGAAGATTAAACGTTTATTGGCGAATGAATCGAATCAATCACTTGTTTTATTTATAGAGGAGATATATCTCTATGCTCAAGCCAAAAAATTTCATGAAATTTCCAGCACCTAATTTTGTTACCACACAAATTTTTGTGTGAAAATGGTATTTTGGATATTTCTCAACTACCAGAAAGAGTGAGAACACAAAATTTTTGCCACATGTTAAGCACAATATGGACCAAAATAGCGCGTCAGTATTTTTCTTTAATTTTCATATTTACCGAGAAAACTCGAAAAAACTGCTTAAAAATCAAGTTGTGTTAAAATAGAAAATTTTAGCGAATAAAGAGGCATAACAAATAACAATCCCTGACGCGCTTTTTTACCACAATTATGTTACCATTAAAACGAGTTCAAAATTAAATTTATCCGAGTTGTAATCACAGAGAAATATCCATTTATACATCGGCTACTATGTCAGAAATCGAAACGGAGAAATGAGGGTTTTCTATTTTTCACAATGAGTGGACCGCCTGTGTGCAAAATGGGTGAACGTATGTGATATATCTACTGTTAGTACTTACTGCGACATATCCATGACTAACTGACACCACTAAATTGGTAAAATGTTCCATGCACCTTGAGAAATTCTGAGAAATTACGAGGTTACCATCGCAGAACGCGCGAACTTCGCTCATCCTGACGTCACAAAACTAATATCAACAAACGCGCGCCTTGCGTACCGGCCGCACTACAGTAAGGTGTGTTGCGAGGTGTTAGAACTATTTTGGGCGTGGGATACTTGTTGGATCACTAGCAGATGTACATGAATGTACACGAATACATGTAATGACAGCTGTAGCAGGGTTGACGCTGAATGATACTGGCTTATTTATTACTAGTGAATATCGTGGTTGTATCGTGTCTCTGACGTCATAATGACGTCAGCCGCTGCTTACTACACATGTACGTGGGCAAGCAAAAACGCTCTGACGGTTCATTTGTACCCTTATATAGAGACATGAGTATGTACACAGGTGGCACATAGTGTTAGCCATCGAATAAAGTTGAAAACGAAAAATCGATAAAATTTCTTGCACAACGTGGAGAGTATCCTTAAGGGAGCCGTCAGTGTGGGGGCCGATTACCTCAGTCGACTCTTTGCGGGTGATTAAGTTATGCGGGAAAGTCACGCAGAAGGACGGGGCGAGGGGGAGTCTTGATTATATGTAAGAACATAGTTGTAATTGGGGCGTATGTCACAAGTGACAGAGTTTAGACAAGCGGCGTGACCTAGACGGACTTGCGGCCCCGGTTTTTGCGCGCAGCGCACAGCTCGCGGCAAAGCCGCGCCCCAACGCGAATACGCCGCCCCCTTTTTGTCCACTTATATGGAACACAGATCCACTGCTACTACCTGTGTGTTCCTGTGTGTGTAGCAGAGACCTGAACTATCTCTATGGAACACAGATCCACTGCCACTACCCTTGTGTGGGTTTAACGAGTTTATCACTTGTGCCCTGATGACCTGAGGTTAACAAGTGTGTGTATTGCTTGCAGGGCGAAAACCATCAAGAACTGTGTGACGGTGAATGAGGAGCTGACGGCGGAGGAGTGGAAGCGGCGCTACGAGCGCGAACGCGACAAGGTGCTGCGCCTACGCGTGCAGCTCGCACGCGCCGAGGCAGAGCTTGCCAGATGGCGTGACGGTATGTGTCCGGGCGTAGGGGGAATTCCAGGGTGGAATCATAGTAGATTGAGAGTGAGATGAGGAAAGCAGCGAGTGTGTGAGATAGGAGACAGAGAGAAAACAAGAGAGAAGGGAAGAGAAGGAGAGCAAGGGGAGACAGACAGAAGAGAGGAGCCAAAGAAAGAGAGAGAGAGAACGAGCAAGAGAGACAAGGGGAGAGGGGGAGAGAAGGGAATAAGAGATAGATAAAAGAGAGACAGGGAGAAAGAGAGAGTTAGAAGGAGAGAGAAGAGAAAGCGCGTGAGAGGGAATGGGAGAGAGCAAATTGAGACACGAATAAGGTGTCCCCGAATAACCCTAACCCTAAACATATAGACGAAGTGGTACTGCTGTCGTGACAGGTGAGAGCGTGCCGTCGGGCGAGCAGGCTAACCTGAAGGACACAAGTGAGCTTCCTGTGGCAACGGAGAGCAGCGACGCCATAACAGCCAGCATTGTCAGCAGCAACATCACTGACGAAGAGAAGAGCAAGTTCGAGGCTGAGCGCAGCAAGCTCTACATGCAGCTAGATGAGAAGGTAGGTGCGACAAGAGAGAGTAGTGGGAGAGGAAAGGGTGGGCAGGAGATAGGGAAAGAGCAAATGGAGGAGATAGAGAGGGGTCAGATAAAGGAGACAGGGAGGGGTAGAGCAAGCCCTACATGCAGCTGGTTGAGATTGTAGGTGCGACGAGAGAGAGAGAGAGAGAGAGAGAGAGAGAGAGAGAGAGAGAGAGAGAGAGAGAGAGAGAGAGAGAGAGAGAGAGAGAGAGAGAGAACGTGATCGAATAGTGGTCGCGTATATGATCGGTATTGAACGCGTATCAGCGGCATATAGAAATTGCACAAGATTGATTTACGTATGTAAGTAAAATGACATCTTTAATATTCATCCACTAAGCTAACGTAACACCCATGAACCAGGCATAACGTGTAAATAGGGTGTACGCGCAATCAACATAACTTACGATTCCGAGATGATGGGAACAACTGTGATGGCAACAGTAGTCTGCACGACGACGCTGAGTTAGCAAATAGTAGAGACGTTGAGAACAGAAGTAAAACCGAGGAGAGACGAACTGAGCGAACAAAGGCGTTTCTTGTTTATATACGCGCGTCGTTCTCTATTGTCTTAGGTTATGGTCACGCGGGCATGGGTAGCGCTCTCATTGGCCGACACGCATAGGCGTTTCGCGGGACCCACGTGCTTGTTTAAACAAAGACTATTTACCTTATGGGGTTTTAACAAATACCCATTCCCTAATTTCCATTAGCATTAAATTGTACCCACATTTCTGTATTACAAGGAGGGTTAAACATGGATTTGTTGATTGTTAACAAAGGACTGAACTGCTTTTGCTATTAGAGCCGCCTTCACCCGCCCCTCCCCCCACTTTCTGCACTTCCAACATTCTCTCTGCCAGCGTCCTCAGAACGAAAACAGCATTTCCACTAACATATTCATACTGTTCATTTGAAATTTCTAGCCTGAACTTACATCTTACTTTAGCAATCTTAATATTAACTTAGCCGCATCGCTCATAATGCTAATGGTACGATGTTTTTTTGCACTCTAGAGCGCCTTGCCTTTTTTTATTGGTATAAATATGAATTTATACATCTGCTCCACTATTGCACCGGTTTCATATATCATATTTGCTAAGGTTTTCAACTGCAAAATCTCCCAACGCCTCCGACATCTCAATCGCTATGTCATCCACTCCGACAGCTTTTTCTGCCTTCATTCTCTTTATTGCAGCTACAACTTTCCTATTTTAAAATTGTTGGTCCTTCCTCATTATACACAAGATCCACCACTTCTGCTTTGTCATCACTGAATAACTCTCTTATGTACTCACTCCACCATTCCATTGCCAATGTCCCGTCTTCTCTCATTATGGCTACGTTAGTTATATTTGATATTTTTGCCTGTTACTTTCTCAACTCTTTCGTACATCATTCTCTGGCACATTGCCGAACATTTTCCTGAACAAATGTTCGTCCGAACAAATGTTTTTGTCTGGCAATGTGCGGGTGAACAATTGCTGAGCGCACATTGCCGAACATTTTCCCAAACAAATGTTTGTCCGAACAAATGTTTTTGTCTGGCAATGTGCGGGTGAACAATTGCTGAGCGCACATTGCCGAACATTTTGCAGCGAAGAACCTCGTGGTGCCGTCTAGTAGCTGTGTTGTAAAGAGTCACGTGATCAGCGCATGATTGGGCACCAAAATCATGTGACCACATATCGTGCTGCTATTGGTTACTACTTTACAAATGTTCCTAGAATTGTTCGACATTCAGCGCACATTGACGAACATTCGACGAACAATGTTCGAGATATCAAACATTTCCGATCTTCAGAAACATTGTTCGGAACAAATGTTCAGCGACTTTTTTCACCGCACATTGCCGAACATTTCATGGAACAATGCTGCGATAATGTTTTTGAGCAAAATGTTCGGCAATGTGCGCCGGGCTTTATTTTTTCAGTTCATCATATTTATTTCTCACTTTGGTGTTATATTAATTCGTGAGTTCATCTCCCCTTAGCAGCTCAAGATGTATTTTGCGTTTGTTATGCTTCTTCTTTATTCTCTTCATCTTCTCTTAATCTTATATATATAGTTATTTGTGGTGAGTTACAGTGTCATTGAGACTTTCATTTTTAAAGTGCATTCAGGTCATTGGTTAATTGTCTCCTGATCATGTACATGCTGAGATGCCTCCTCCCCATCTTATGTTCGTCTCTCACTGATGAATTCTTCAGCTAATGGTGTGAGTCACTTTCTGATTTACCATAGGTGAGCAAGACAGGTGCGGAGGGATCGGTGCTGGATGAAGCGAAAAACATCAACAAGTCGCTGTCAGCGCTCGGAAATGTGATCTCAGCACTGGCTGAGGGATCGGTGAGTACGCACCGCTACATTGTTACACACATAGCTGCACACATAGCTACACATATACCTACACACATAGTCGCATACCTGCACATAATATACTTATACACATACCTGCACACAGCTGTATACATAGCTACACACACACCTACACACATAACTAAACACAGCTATACACATACTAGGGCTGTAACGATACACAATTGCCTCTCGATTCGATCCCGTTCTCGATATTAACCTCTCGATTCGATCCGGTTCTCGATATTAGCCTCTCGATTCGATCTGGTTCTCGATATTAGCCACTCGATTCGATTCCTTTGATTCGATTCCCATAATATTGAAATGTTATCTTATTTTTTATATTTTCATTATTTTGCAATAATAAATTATTAGAAATTGCCAATGAATACTAAATGGTGAATAGACTAGAGAGTCTAGAGAGTATATATCATAGAGATGTATACTATTTATACATCTCTATGGTATATATACACTGCACAGTCGCTGAGTAAAATTGGTGAGTAACACTCGACAGTATATAGCGTAGTGCCGCCATCTATTGGAGGGAAAAAGTGGTATCGAAGTGGAATCGAAAATACAGGGGAAAATATCGAGGATCGGATCGAGGGAAGAGAATCGCGATCCGATTCGATTTCGGTGGATTGTTACAGCCCTAATACATACCTGCACACATAGCTTTACACATAGCTTATTACATACCTGCACACATAGCTTTACACATAGCTACATACATACCTACACACATAGCTTTACACATAGCTACATACCTACCTACACACATAGCTACACACATAGCTACATTTCTACATACATAACTACATACACAGGTACATACATAGCTACACACATAGCTACACACATAGATACATTCATACCTGCATATGTAGCTAAATACATAGCTACACACCTACATAGTAGCTACATAAACAGATACATACATACCTAAATATATAGCTACATACACAGATACATACATGGCTACGTACACAGATACATACATAGCTACATACATAGCTACACACTTACATACATGGCTACATACACAGATACATACATAGCTACACACATACATACATAACTACATACACAGATATATACATAGTACATTAGGTTTTATAATGCCCTACACAGCCAAACTAATACATAATGCACATGTACATACGCTATATAAAATAGTACACTACATGGCTGGAATACATAGTTGATTCATAGCCTGTCTGCTGCCTGCCTGCCTTGCCTGCCTGCTTCGCCTGCTGCCTGCTGCCTGCTGCCTGCTGACTGCCAGCTGCTGCTGCCTGCCTACCTCCCTACCTACCAGTCTAACTACTGCCTGCCTACTTACTGTACATTACCTATCCTATCGCCCCGTTCGAGGTTCCGATAACTTACTTACCCATATACATGTACCTGCCTGCTACTTGCTTTATTACTACGTCAAGATGTCCCGCCTTTACGATGGATGAAGCGCCAAGGCCTACTTTAGCGTCTAGGGTATGCATGGTGTGGCTGTGTGTCAGGTGATCTTATTCTGTGTCCCTGTGTGTGCGTGCGGGTGCGTGCTGTTCGTGCGTGCGTGCGGTGCGGCTGTGCCGTGCGTTTCTGTGTCTGTCTTTGTCTGTCTGTCTACCGTACTACCGTACCTGTCTGCGTGTCTCTCTGGCCTCCTTGAGCTTCCTGCCTAGCTGCCTTCATTCCAGCAACGCTGCCGCACTTTGCTACGTAGTATAATATGTATCTGCCCGAAAGGTCATGATTATTGTGGTTAAAACTAAACTTGTGGTACCGTGTACCCTGCCTTTGCTCTTCGTGGTCTCTGGTGTGTGTCCATGGCTCATGTTTACTGGTCTCGTCTGACTACCGTGGCGCCCACACTAGCCAGACGTATTCGTATTCGTTTCAGATCAAGTGGCGTAAGCGTGATCAGGAAGCTGACACGTATTCACAGGAGAGTCTGGGAGGCAATGCAGCAACACAAGTCGTCTCCTGCTGCTGCGCGCGGCCGCCTACACGACTCTGAGTCAAAGATCAACATCTCATGTTCGGGACAGAGTAGGTGCAGCTTGGGTCAGTAGTTAGTGTCCATGGCACTTGATTATGTCCCCATTAAAACGATGTGATGATAATGCTGAAATCATCGTGTGTAATTATTGAAGAAGTTTATCTCCACATAGACGACGATATTTCTCATGGTAAATATTTAAAGCAACCGCCGCGCAGACAACAAGTTTGAAATTCGATGAGATCAGAAGAAGTCAAGTATAATTCGGCTTGATCATCATTAGGGTGTCATATTCATGCTGGACGTCTGGCTATCCCAGTCGCTCACTGTGTTTGAGCTACATCTCGTTTGTCGTCTGTAAGGACCTCCGCAAGCAGTATGTCTCCCTCCGACAGTCTCACCAGATCATGTCTATATATACGTCGATTGTCTGCCCTCTGGTCTGCACTTCAATCCCTGCTGGTCACAGCATACACCTGCAAACTGCTGCTCTCATTATATGAGCGCACCTGTACGTGAAGCTGTCTCTGCTTCATTGTCCAGCAACTTCTAGATATTCGCATTCTCCGCTCAGGATCTCCTCACTTAGTTATACTCTGAGTCCTTAGGAAATCAACCTC